TTATGGAGATGCCACTGATGTAGTAAAGGCAGTGCGCCTGATGAGTAATAGCAGGTGATGGAGAGAGATGGATAAATTGCAGATGGTGCTTTTTGGCTGTCAACAAAGCCAGGCTGTTTTCCGAGAGAAGATCTATTAGCACAAATGAGAGCATGCCACAGCTCTCTCCCTTCCTGCAATGCATGCTCTCTCACGCCATCTCACTTTTGCTCTCTCCCTGTCATGCTTTGTCATTTTATTTTCTCAGTCCCCCTCCTCGTGTTTGCTCGCATTCTTTCTCACGCATACATGCCCAAACAAACGCTAGGCGAAGGGGATGAAAGAAAGCAAATAGCTTCAAATCAATATTTAAATGAAGATATAATTAATTGACTTATAAATATGTGGAAGCTTCACCCCCAAAGGGGCCATTCTGATACAAATGTCATCTGTGTTTGATGAGAGCGCAGCTTCACGATGATATCAACCAGCTCGACAGGCAGAATTAACAGTTTGTATTTCTGCCCTTTTTATCCTGCACTTTTGTGACTAAAATTTTGTACTAAACTCACATAATTCTGTAACACTTTACAGTTTGCTCTCGTTTGATAACATTAGTTACTGCGTTAGAACTAACAATGAGCAATATATTTTTACAGCATTTATTAATCTTTGTTAATGTTAGTTAATAAAAATACAATTGTTCATTCATGTTAGTTCAGTTCATAAAGTAACAATGTTCATTAACTATTATCAGTCATTAACTATTATTAACAGATTTAACTTTTGATTTTAAAAATTTAGTTTTTAAGTAAATGTTGAAATTAACATGAAAATTAATAAATAATGTAGAAGTATTGTTCATTGTTAGTTCATGTTAACATAGTTAACTAATGTTAACAAATGAGTCCTTATTGTGAAGTGTTACCAATGCTTCCATAGTTCCATTTTATCTTGTTTGCCTGTAATGGCTAATATATAGGCCATCGTAATTCACAATAAGAGAGAATTTTACAAAGCATTACCAAGAATAAATACACAAGAACAAGCATTTAATTTGTATTATTATTAATTTGGATATTTTTGCTTTGTTTACAATGAGTTATGAGTTGTTACCTCATTAAGTTAATCCAAGAAAGATAAACATTCTGCATTTTCTTGGCACTTAACTTGCTCTTGTTTAATGTTTTTTTAATGACCTGTGAATGAGTTATCATAAAAGTGAATGCACAAGTGTAATATAGAGATTGTAGAAATAAAGGAAGCTGCAAGAAAACAATTTTTTTTTTGCTCAGAATTTGCACTCCACTACAAAATGGCTTCACCTCATTTATAAAGAACTGCGGTATAGGGAATACCAACTGATTTGAACACTGATTTTTTTTTAATTATTTCTCTCCTAGACGATGGAAGAGGCAACTGTTTACCCAAATATGTTTAGTTAGTCAAAGACAGTTCACTTAACTTTTCAACTATCTTACTGTTTTCATCCACATGCACATTTAGTTACATGGGTTGGTGTCACTCACGTTTTGCAGAGATGATCAGACCGTATTGTCAAGAGAAGCCCTGATGTGAGCAGTGTGCTCAGCTTTGATAATTTCATTATAAATGTGATCGCGGTGGGATTAGCCATAACAGTCCTGAAGTGGTGATTAATAGAAAAGATAATGAGTGATTAATTACCGTGGTGCCATCAGGGCCCATTTGAGCGGAAGTCATTGACGAGACCTCTTTGTCTCAGTGCCGAATAGACACCCCCACAGAGACAGCGCCGTCTGCCTGATATGTGCGCAGTCAAGGACGTCGCCACCTTCTTGTGTTTTATGTTTGTCATGGACACAGGAAGAAGTTTGTTCTGTGACTTCTGAGGTTGAGCTGACTTTCAGAGATTCATAAAAAACACTGACGTATCTGTTTGGTGACATGATGTTATTGGCCCAATTATTGTCTGTTTAAAACGCTTTAAAGAATTTACTAATCTGAATGCCTTTTTAGGAGACTGTTGATATTTCAATATTGCATTTAGATTTATGCATTTGGCAGATGCTTTTATCTGAAGCAGCTTACATTGCATCTAAGGTATTTTTGCTTTCAATGGGAATCGAACCCATGACCTTGTCATTGTTAGCGCTGTGTTTCCACTGTTTGAGCTTCAGGAAGGCTTATCCATATAATCTATTTTTGTTGCATATGTCAGATGATGTATTTTAATTGCCAAATTACAGTATCATAGAATGCAGATGCTTGTTCTGAAGCTGAAGTCTTTCTTGTTCATTTATCTGAATGAGTTTTGAAGATCTGTTGCAGTGGTTGAAGATTCATAATCTTGAAAGCATTCAGTGATCCATTAAACTCTGTAATGGTACATGTTAGCATTGTTAAAAGATTAGTTAGCATGTGGAAAACTTGCAGAAGACTAGTAGTACACAGCGTGTTCATAGGAATTGACTGTTCACTTCAGTTCATTGAGTGCAAAGCTTCTTAGTTTGCCTGCTTTTAACCATCAGTCACTTTTGAGTGCTATAATCAAGGCACTTAAAGGCATGCACTAGTGTTCCCCTTTTATATGTTCTTTTTGTAGTGAATTATATATAAAGTGAAGTACTGCTATTTGCCACTGGTCTTTTTTAAGTTACATAAACTTTTGTTTGTTTTTTCTCTTTAAGATAACCATTTACCATGTTCCTGCTGGTTTGAAAAAAAAAAGTTGCTTTGTTAAGGAATATTTTTAATTTAAAAAATCATGGAATTGTCTTGTGAACATTTTTCTAAAATATTTAAACTCATATTTTGTTACTTTTATTTTACTTTTATTACTTTTTTCAGTTTGAACCAGCTCTTAACAAATTTGTTTGTGATTCAGGTGAATCAGTTGTGTTGTTTGTTGTAAATCATTGCTGGAAACACTGCTGGTAATTCCATATATAGGTAGTTACACTACCTTTCAAAAAGTCTGTAAGCCTTTTGTTTGTTTTTGTAAAACATCTCTAATGCTCTCTAAGGCTGCATTTATTTGTTTAAAAATACAGTGAAAACAGTAATATTGTGAAATACTGTTTTACAATTTAAAATAATATTTTTCTATTTTAATGTTTTAAAATGTCATTTATTCCTGTGATCCCCAAAGCTGAATTTTGATCCTTCAGAAATCATTCTAATATGTTGATTTGCCGTTTAAGAAATTATTCATATTATTTTCAATTGTATTGTACATTTTTCAGGATTCTTTGAATAGAATGGTCAGAAAAGAACAGCATTTATTTTAAAGACTTTTAAATAAATGTATTGCGTCCTTGTTGAATAAAACTATTAATTTCTTATTTTTTTTCATCCGTCACTAGTGGCAATTCAATTTCTTTCTTTTGTTATAAATTCTTATTTATGTCTTATTATTAAATGTTTCTCATCTGCAGAACGTCAAACTGCCTGAAAGGATGTGATTTTGTGCAGAGCAGTAAAGTGAAGTTTTGGTTTACAATTTGCTTATATGAAATCGTCATTCATGCATATGTGTGTGGACACTAGTGTGTTTATCAGGATGTGAACATGGTACAGAATTGCTGTGAAACCAGGCAAGTGACAGTACCTCAGCAGTTGTCTTTTGTTATGTGAAACAATTAGAGTTTAACACAGCACGCTTTTGTTCGTCACAAATCCAATAGCAATCAGCCTTGTCCTTGGTACTCCAATCAGCCCGCATTTAGATATTGATCGACTGTTGGTGAAGACCACTCCATGTTTTGTGTGTGTGTTTTTACTATTGATTATCCAGAAATGATAGAGGCATCACCTGCGACTTCTCCATCACTCTGAAGTGAGAGAAGCTGATTTGGAGTGTTCTTTTAAGTACAACATCTTTCAAAGTTTGTCTCCAGGGCAGAAGGTTTTCCTTTTCTCCCTACCTGATTTATTGTTTGATGCTATTGTTGGTAATTAAATGAAACGAGACATTTAAGCAGGGCTTTGAGATCTTATTAAGATGCCTATTGAATGTTTCACTGAAAAAGTATTTTAATTGTTCCTTGTGGAGTTCTCTTATATGGAAAAAACCAGCATAGTCCCGTGTGATCGAATGCTCTATATTGCACTGTATTGATCTTTTCTACCCATGTCACACCTGCAAATGCTCATGAATGCTTACTGTCTTTCATTCACTGACATCTACACAGTCTGATTACAGATGAGAAGTTGGTATTGATAAATATATTGATTTGACCTTCAGAAGTACTTCTGACCTGGGCCGTCTCATCTCCTCCTGTATGCACAAGCAAGGAAGTTGTGCATCATGTGCACATGATAGATAAACTGTGTCTATCATAGAGGCAAAATAAGCAGTGTGCGATCGGTTATGGATGGGATTTTGTATGAAGGTTGTGAATTCTGCTTTTAGGGCAACCAGACAGTCAGTGGAGTGGAGAAATTACAGGGAATGCATCATTAATTAAACTCCTCCACTGGAATACTGATGCTCACGCAATCAATGGCAAAATAATTGCTTGTCATGCATGTTGTGGCAAGAGAAATTTCCTTCCAATCTTCGCAGACATTTGATTAGCCAGGTCCTCCAAACTTTTTTATATGGAACAAATGAATTATTCAACCACCTGTTTCTGTCTGTGCTGGAAAACAGCCAAAGTGCTGTCAATGGCCTCTCTCTTTCACTTTCTGTCTCTTTCTATCATTCTACGCTTTATTCTGTTTTGCATGTTCTCCTCTTCTCTTTTCGTAATCTTTTTCCTTCTTTATCTCAAACACATCAGCATCCCTGCATACTGCCTCACAGTGTGCGTCTCAGGGAGCTTTTTGGTTTCTCTGTTTTCAATAAATATCAGTCACTGATCTTTCTGTGAGTCATGTAATTTATGCCGTCAGTCACCACTTGTAATCATACATCTGAGATTTTGACAGAAAACTGACATCTTAGAGTTGCTTGAAATTATAAAGTTTATGTACAGATATTTACTAATGTATCATATTTTTTCCTCTCTTTCTTTCGTTTCTTACTCTTACTGCTACAGCAACTGATGAGGGAAAGGCAGCAGATGGCCAGTCGCCCTTTTGCCTCGGTCGCGGTGACACTGGATTTGGGCAGCAATCAAGTAGAACTGCTTCAGGGTGGAATCGAGGTTAGTTTGACCTTTGAACATTGAACCAGTTAGATTTTACTTGGCTAACATTATTCAATGAAAGGTTAGTCAATATACAGTATCAAATATTCACTATATTTAGAAAATGATTTTCGAGACACAAGAAAATATTTTTCAAGAAAATTTTATTCTGTGTGGAAATACACTAGTATACACCATATACATTATATACACCAGTGTTTATGGCTCTGAAATGACCTTTTTCCCCTCATGTGAAACTAGTTTTTCCAATCAGCTACTATTTCTATGTAGATTTAAAAATTAAAGCAAGTAATCATCGTTCATGTAAAATAAAAAAAATCTTATTGAAAATAATCTAGGCATGTTTTCATCACTGTATGTATGTATGTATGTAAATATATATATATATATATATATATATATAATGTACTTAACCTTTATAATCAACTTAAAGGGATAGTTCACCCAAAAATGAAAATTCTGTCATCATTTACTCACCCTCATGTCGTTCCAAACCTATGAGTTGCTTTCTTATGTTGAACATAAAAGAGGATATTTTGAAGATTGCTGGTAATCAAACAGTTGGTGGTTGCCATTGACTTCCATTGTATTTCTTTTCCTATGGAAGTCAATGGCAACCACCAACTGTTTGATTACCAGCAATCTTCAAAATATCTTCTTTTAAGTTCAACATAAGAAAGCAACTCATACAGGTTTGGAACGACATGAGGGTGAGTAAATGATGACAGAATTTTCATTTTTGGGTGAACTATCCCTTTAAATCATTAATATAAGCGCACTATGATTATATATATATATATATATATAATGTACTTAACCTTTATAATCAACTTAAAGGGATAGTTCACCCAAAAATGAATTCTGTCATCATTTACTCACCCTCATATGTCGTTCCAAACCTATGAGTTGCTTTCTTATGTTGAACATAAAAGAGGATATTTTGAAGATTGCTGGTAATCAAACAGTTGGTGGTTGCCATTGACTTCCATAGTATTTTTATTTTTTT